GTACGCGGTTTTAATCATCGGTCCAGTTGTTTTCATGATAGAAGTGGTTGTTTTTTTCTTGAACACGGCTGAATTAACAAATTTCCCACGCGTGTCTTCAAGGTGCATTTTGTATTCTGCCTTTTTTTGTGTTAAAATACCCGTTATACCTCCGTGGCAACTGCGACGAAAGGATGTCGTTCTGCGCGGTTTCGTTTCGTTCGGCGAGTGTCTCTGATGGTGGGGCTTGACCTGACCGAAAGAGAGAGAAAAAAAAAGAAAAGAAACTATGACTAAGTCGTCCGCGAGCAACGGCAGTGTGGCCAGCGTGAAGAGCAGGAGTCGGTTTGACCTGGCTCAATGCTTCTCGGCGAAGAATGACGAACGCGCGGACGAGGATTATTACGTGGACGCGGACGAAGAGTGCTTCCGCAACTACAAGTCGGGTCGCGCCGTGAAGCTCGAAGCGTGGCAAGATGACGGTGAGTTTCCACGGTTTCGTCTATTCGTGGGTAGGTGTCGCTACTTGTTCGCACCACGACGACTGTATCACATTCTTCATACGGAATGTACTGTATTGGTAAAGCGCTGAGTACCGCAATACACAGTATTGTAGTATTTCCCGACGTTTCGTATTATTGTTTGCTACGTTGGGGATTCGCACGGGACGTACTGATGTACTGTATGGTAGAGAAAATACTGTACTTCGCAAATGACTAAATATGTCTTTGGCAGTTGCAGTACAACACAGTACAGTACAGTATATTTGTGAGTTGTCGCGCCGCGTGTAGATTTTTGAAAGGGTTTTAAGGTAATGTTTGCTGTCGCATTTATTGGAATTTGCTGCTCTTTCCTGCATTGAAAAAATACCAGGTCGTGTCTTGTACCGTGTTTGCATCTGTGATGCAATACTTCATGAAGAAGCTCAGAAAGTTGTGAACATTCGTATGAGTGATATGCGATTCATTTCGAATTTTGAAAATTTCACGTTTTATTGTGTGGATGGGGTTTTTGATGCGATGCTTTCTATTTTTTCTCATTTTAAAATCTTAAAAATGTCTCCCAATTTGACTGGCGAATATTCAGGGAGCATCTTAGATCCATCTTTAAATGTTAAACTTGATGGATTTATTTGCGTGTGTTCAATACGGCTTATCATAAAATTGTTGAATACTGTACTTGCAATCCTTCGAGAATACTGTAAAATGTTAAAAGCAGAATCGGGTATAAGTGCAATACATAAAAATTACGCTTCCAAATTCAAATATGAGAATTAAGGCGGACTCGCTACAACGAAATTCAACACGCCAGAAAAAGATTCGTTTCAGAGATACCTTCGTTGTAGATAAACCCTATAACATAGGAAGAGAACCCTAATGGGATCAAAAAATGCGTTACAAAGAGAAAATTGTTGTAGACTAAGATATTTCTAGAGAGTCAACCTGTATTTGGCAATTTTTTCCCTGACCATTTTAATTTTTGAAGTTACTTGGCAGAACGCGAAGTTCATACCACTTTTAATATCCTTGAAGAGAATAATTATTGGTAATTTATGATGAAAATTTATTCAATTTGAGGAGATATTTCCATTCAAAAATTAGTGCCCTTTTTGGTTTTACGTACACAAAATCAGCTTTCCTAGATTCGCCGATTAACTTTTTCAGAAGTTCTACTATTGCTGAAAACTGAAAATCCATCCTAGATTCTACGTGTCGTCTTTTACTCGGGTGAACACAGAACATCTTTCTGCTCCTTCGAGTCCATTCCTCATCCTGATCAGCTTAATCAGAAAGCTGCATCAGGTCTATAAAACCAACTGGAAATGTCTCTTGCGTCGAGCGGATATTGGGAAGAGCGGAAAAAAGGAAGAGTTGCGTCTTTTGTCTGCTCGGAAGCAGATGCGGTTTTTCGCATTATTCCCGATATCGAAATCCTCCAGCTGTTGTGTGTTGCTTCGCAAGCGACGTCGTCCGTGCCTGCCTATTGTTCCGCCCTAAAAAATAGTATTAAAAAATGCGCCGCAAACCAGGTAAAGAAGGAATA